TGTATACTTTTCCACAGGTCCACTGCTGAAACAAGATTCAGAGACTTGAGAAAGCCATGATTACTCTCAGCCTCGGTTTCCTCACACTGTGCAAAGAGGCTTCTAAGTCTTCCAGGGGTGGACCCAGGTTTTATGGGGCCTGAAGGTCATACATTTGGGGTGGGGATCCTTCAAGGAGAAGAATACAGTATTTTGAATATAAAATGAAATAAAGAGGACCTGTTTATTTAGAATGAGAAGAGGAATCACAACAAAACTATAAATTTTTAAATGCTGACAAAGCAAACATCGCAAAATCAGAATAGCATAATATTTTTATTAATAACTGCTGAATACCTCATAGGACTTTTTCCTAGTTTTTTGGCTGCATGCTCTTTCCTTCTTTGTATGATAATGGTATTTAAAATTCTTACATAAAGAGAATAAAATGATAAGTTCATTTTTCCTCTATCATGGGCAATCCACAGTTATTTTTTATTACAGATGCTTAAGATGCATCAAACATGTGACTGCACACACATGTATACATGTATACTGTCTGCACTACTGCTACCAGTGTGTGTCCTGAAATGCAAGGCTTCTGAGAACTTCTGTATGTCTCATTACTGTGAATCCCACAATGCTGAGTACATTTCTGTTGTGGTGAGGTACTGATAAGAGCCAAATTTTCTTACAGCTTTGCCCACTGATGAATAAGTATTTCTGGAAGCTATTCTTGAATTAGCATAGCTAGCAATAACTTCACTATATAAGAAAGAGGCTCTAAATCACATGAATACATACCACCAACCCAAATTAAGTGTATCCCTAATTCAACTTTCAATTAATTAATTCCAGTACTCATGGTCATTCCAATGCCACCTGACAGGAGGATTCATTTGTAGCGAAAGTAGAATTAGAAAGATGCAAGGGACTTCACGAATTATACCTTGAATGTCTAAATTTTGAAACTTTACAATAAAAAAAAAATCTCCTTTCAGGGCTTTGGAAAGCACAAGGCGAGAGCTGCTGAAGGTTAGTTGTCATTAGATTTTCATGGAAAATCTTCCTCTGTCTCTCCAGGTGGCCTCAGCCTGCCCCTGTCAGCAGCAACCTGAGTAGGAGGGAGACTCAGACTATTATCCAAAAGAGGACACTTGGGAATTCAAGCTGGAAAGTCAAGAGAAGGAGCAAATTCTAGAGTACTTGGAATAGCTCCTAAAGATAGGCTGAATGTAGTTGCTGCCATCTTGCTTGAAAGACAGTATGAAAACAGACAGCTGCTTCCTAGGTAAAAGAATGGGAAATGACCAAGACTGGCCTAAAACTGGATTCTGCCAAAGGGGCCAGAGCACTTACATGCACCAGAGGCTGCTGCCAAACGTGAAATGGGGTGAGAGTGTTGGAAGACACAACTGGTTAGGGCACTGAATTCCAAGGTGGTACCATTTAATCCAGATAGTCAACACCCCTGGTTGGATATGTCAACCCAAACCAGAGAACGTAAGCAAAATGATTGGAAAGATTGGAGATAGTATATAGAGACTTAAGCTACATTGTGAATACACACACACACACACACACACACACACACACACAATTTTAGTCGTGTAAGAACAAGTAGAGACTATAGCTCAGATGGAAAATACTATGTCTAAGTCAAATACATGTTGGGAGAAATTTAAAAACACCATAATTAAGGAAGGAGAGATTCACCTCCTTCCCTCTCTCCTGGTTTTCAGCAACTCAGTGGTATGAGCAGATAAAAGCAGGCAGTCATGTTCTGTTTACTTAGGCCTAAGAAGGGTTATTTGCAACTCATAACCACAGCACTGCTGGAAGAATCTGGAAATTTTTCTGGTTCACATAGACAAAAAAGATAAAACACCATCCCTGCCTTCCCAATGTGTATGTTTATATGAAAAACTATATTGGGTCATAGACCCTGACATGGAGATATGCTTGCAGCAATCTTATGGCGAGTGCTTTTAGGAACAGTACCAGTAATGAAACAAGAGTAGCAGAATTGGGCAGAGAGAAGTCAAACCATAAGGCAGTTTCAACAGAGCTGTTCAGCCTACTCCACAGAATGTGCTGGAGTGAGAATAAGTCTTCAGAGTTGCCTTGAAGTGAGAACACGAGGTCTTTTTACCCCTACAGTGGGCCAGTCATTAGATGGAGGTTTCCCTAGGGAGGGTCATCACTTGGGTAAAGCAGCTCCCTTCAAGTCAAGGGTAGTGCCCAGAGGGAGACTCAGCTGTGAGTCTTTTGCAGCCAGTACTCCCCATAGCCAGTATGAATGCCATCATCCTGAACAAACAATCTGTCAGGCATATTAAAATGTACACTACAGACAAAGTATGAAAAGAAACAAAAATAAGCTCTAAAACCATAGTATAAGATCTGGAATTTAGTCCTACTTTTTTTAGTCCTACTTATCAAGTCCTATAATTGATGAGTCAATTATAAAATGAGTGGCGTGGACAGCAGAGAGGGAGCATCTTTCTGATCATTCTCCTCTGTTTGAGTATCTTCTCTGAGCTGAGATTACATGTCTCTCACAACTTTTGTTAAAATGTAATGAGTCCCTTGAAAATTGTGAGGCACGGAGCTAAGACACCAATGACCACTTGAAGAACAGAATAAAGACAGGTGTGCTCAGGTAGACGGTGCTGCTAGTTTTCTCACTGGAAAATTATAATGAAGGACCACAATGCCTCAGGGGGCATTTCAAGGGCAACCACTACCCTTGAAGATGGCAAACTGCAAGCCCTAGGGAGAGAGACAGCTTTTTAAGTCAAATGTGCTATTCCTTCCTATTTTACTAGGCCCTGCTGCGCATGTCCTGTTTTGAATATTCTATTTCTGTTTAACTGCATTCTGTGATTCTGTCCCCCGACAGCAGCTGCTCGGCACTTGGCAAACTCTGTGGGCAATTCAAGGATTTGTTTACCTTTGCTCTGAAGCTCCATGACACTTGTTCTTACATTCCGATAGAGGCAACAGAAGGAGAATAAATGCATAACATAGAGAATCAACTACCGTTACCTCAAAAATAGGCTGGCTCGATATGTGTTTTCCCTTAACTGCAATTAAATATTTTTTATAATAGTGAATGCCAAATAAGTGCAATGGTCCAAGAGAAAATAGAGAAAACAAATGCTAACAGCCGCCATGTGGCAATCCCAGTTGTATTTGGATATAATCATTAACTTTGATTCTCAAAAATTTACAGGCAAAAATAATGTTATTCTCTCACATTATTCAGAAACCTTGCAAATGAAGTCTCTGTCAAGTGATTTCAAGATGTGCACTTGAAAAATATGGAAAAGGATTAGGAAGTTAGCAGGTTGGGACTGAGGGATATCTTTTGTTTTTCAAAACATGCCGAGCCTGAGCTTTTAAAGAAAACTGGCTAGCACAGGGTGGAAACCTTACAGTCAATAATCTATGGTTTTATAAGGATGGTATTTCCTTGGAGACCATGATTTTGAACCATATTATTTTTTTTTTATGTATGTTAGCTGAATTCTTGAATCAATTTTCAACTTCCAGACACAGAGAACCACTTATTTAGAGTACTAAAACTTCTTTTCTCTTCTTCCTACCGTTGTATCTTTTTATTCTTACAGACTCAACTAGATCTGCTAAGGTCCTAAATTCATACATGCCAGTGGGTTGCTGTTTGACTTCACTGATCTACATGAAATAAGGATCACTTTACATACTGTTTGCATTGGGGTTTTGTTGTTGTTCCTGATTAAATATATATATTGTCATTTTATACACATGACCCCAAATTAGGTGATTTTGTTTGGTCTAGGAAATCCTGATTATATTCTGGGTCATTTTATATTTCACTCCACTTGACTTTTTTTTTCCTTTCCCTCAGAGTAGGTGAGAATGGCCACTCTGGTCCTATTAGGACTTTAAGAAGAGCATATACACATAACAGTTACCCTAAGATTAAATAGGTTCTTGTAATATAAAATTCCTCTGTCAATTATAACTTCCCCTTTGTGGTTTGTGAATTACTTTATATGTTTGAAGTACATCCCTACACCAAAGTGAGGCCTTAAAGTTCTTCCCACTTCCTCTTAAGGAAATTAATCATTTGGGACTATAATTAAACATAAGATTCACAAGAAAGGAAATCTAACACAGAGAGTCTCCTATAGACATGTTAGATAACACTTAATGAAGCATTTTATATCCTGTTAGGACTTTATGTCATGCATTCTGTGTGTAAAATGGTTATTGAAATGGTTTTAATATTTTAAAAATTATATAATTCCTCATCTAAATAACAAAGTTGGGAGTGACACTATAAAACAGGCCACAGGCAAGTAATGTATGATACTTGTTACTCTTAGTCATTACATTAATATTAATAATACTTATAAGGAATTAAACTATTAATTTTTCATAAGACCTAAAAAAGCCATATTATTTTATTGAATTATATAATTCAATCACAGAAAACACAAAGGGTGCAGGATTCCAGCTGAATGCAAACAGAATTTAAATATGTATGTTTCAGTTTAACCACATCAGTATTTGCTGTAGATGTGGCTTAGTTTTTATTCTAGCTACATAAAAGAATTCAATCAAATTTCTTCTTTGCATACAAAGGCAATATTTTTTCAATATGGTTTTTTGCTTATCTGAGCTACAGAAACTCCTTCTACCCTGGCCTTCAGTCCATTTTTTGAGCCATATTTTAGCCAGTCCTAAAGTGAATATCATTCTTACAGAATCAAGAGTCTTGCTAACTGCAAAAAGACAATTTTCTTATGCTTACTCTCACACAATCTAGAGAGTCTGTAATTAGAGAGAGCTGCTAGCCTTACCATAGAAACATCCAATTGTACCCTCCTATAGGAATTATAGCTGTGTCTGAAGTATCTTCTTCTGCTTGGAAGCCAATATAAGTGAGTTATCTTACCCCTCTTTGTGAAATGGAAGGTTGAAATAGCAACACCAGAAGTCAGTTGATCCCAAAGCTAATTCTTCCCACTTACCTCTTTTAACACTGGATAATGCTGGGTGGTATTCAGTCACTATTTCTTTGGTCCGTTTAAGTCATCTCCATGCTCAATTTACACATTCCCTAGTGTAGGACCTGCCTCGAGCAGTGTTGGGACATGCCAAGTTCCTACTTCCTTTGTCAGTAAAGAATTTCCTACTATATTAGTCAGAATGGGCTAGGCTGAGTAACAAACTAACCCTGAAATTTCAATGGTTGAACAATACAAAGATCTCATGAAGCCTGATGGCCTCCAAACAATGACTCAGTGATCCAGTGATATCTATCTCGTGGTTCTGCTTTCTCAACAATTGCAGAGGAAGATGTCAACTAAAGATCACACAGTTGCTCTTCTTTGTTGTGTCCCACCCTCAACCTATTGGCCAGAACTAGATGTATAGTGCTTCATCTGGAGCCAGTGTATGTGGGCCAGGATAGTTGTATTCTTGTTGTACTCACCATTTTCCTACTATAAAAGAAATTGTGTGCACATTAACAAAGACCAGTCTCTTTTTGCCCTTTATAAGAAGAGAGGATCAGGAATATAGGCCTATTTATTTTGGCCTATTTGATATTTATGAAGTAAGTGTAGCTATTGGGTTCAATAGATTGCTTAATATAATCTGAAACTTCAGTCATATATAAAATATTTTTTATGATTCAATTTTTAAATACTTAGGGTTTAAATTTAATTTTAAATTTCATTTAGAAATGGAAAGACTAATATTTTTTCTGATTTTTTAAAGTTTATTTATTTTTGATAGAGTGAGAGAGAGAGAGTGTGTGTGAGTGAAGGAGGTTCAGAGAGAGAGAGAGGAAGACACAGAATCAGAAGCAGGCTCCAGGCTCTGAGCTGTCAGCACAGAGCTCGATGTGGGGGCTTGAACCCACAAACCATGAGACCATGACCTGAGCCAAAGTTGAATACTTAACTGATTGAGCCACCCAGGTGGTTCTGGAAAGACTAATTTAATGGAAAGACACTGATGTTGCAATGCATCTTTAATTTTCTTTTAATTTTTAAAATTTTCTTTCTTTCTTTCTTTCTTTCTTTCTTTCTTTCTTTCTTTCTTTCTTTCTTTCTTTCTTTTGACAGAGAGAGAAGGAGAGAATGAGCAAGTAGAAGGCAGAGGGAAAGAGACAGAAAGAGAATCTCAAGCAGCCTCCACACTCAATGTGGAAACTGACACAGGGCTTGATCCCATGATCCTGGGATTATGACCTAAGTCAAAATCAAGAGTAGGATGCTCAGCTGACTAAGCCACCTAGGTGCCTCTGAAACTTTTTCCTAGAGCTCTGACTTCTCATCTTTGCATTGGTAAAATGACTTTATCATTATTGATAATTAGTTCATCATTTATTGATTTAATATTAATATCTATATTGTATCTACCCAGTCAAGCTGCAAATCAAGAAGCCCTCCTATTCCTTTGTCTCATCCTTCATATGCAAGTAATCATTAAATTCTGTCAATTCTACCTCTTCAAAATCCCTTACATTCATTCATTTCCTGGCTTCTCCACTGTCACAATATCTTGTTTTATATTTCTACCATTTCTCACTGCATAACTGTGAAAATCTCATAACTAGTTTTCCTGAATCTTGTATTACACACCTCTAGTCCGCTATCCACTATTCATATAAATTACATAAATATAGCATTGTCTGTGTTTGTGTATGTGAAAATTCAAATGTGGTCACCTACTAGATGAAGTCAAACCCCTAGCCTAGCGTAGCAAGACATGGTATGTCCTACTGACCACTCTGGATTTATCACTACCAATCTCACCCACTGCAGCTACTGAGATCCACTTGTTTTTTCTCTGGAACACTCTTCTCTCATTATTGGAGAGATTCACATACATCTCCATATGACCTTATGGCCCCCACTTCTAACTTACTTCTTTTAATTCTCTAGGACTTGGTTTAGCAGTAATCCCTAAACATTATGAGGTTTTCTTCCTTCAAGTTTTCACACCATGTCCTGGCCCCATCAAAGCTCTTGTTGCACAAAATGGTAATTTTTCCCTTGATGCAGGTCTCTCCAACTATACTGGCATTGTTTAAATTAGAGTCCAAAGAGTACATTCATCTAAATCACGTACGGAGCTTTTTAAAATTATAGATCCTAAGATGCCACTCTAGGTCTACTGAACCAGAACCCATGGTATGAGGTCCAGGGCTCCATAATTAATTACCCAGATTATTCTGAGGCCTCCTGGTGTTGAAGAACCACTACTGAAGGTTATAGCTCCTTTTGGAGACAGACTGATTTGGTCATTTTATCCACATGCATCTCTTTACACCTAGCACAGTGCTTGGAATGGTAGGCAAGCAAGAATTTAATACTAAATTTAAAACTAGAATTTAATATTAGATGTATTAAATGACGTGATATTTTCATATTCATCACTAAACTGTTTTACCAAGTGTTTCTAATTTACTCATTATTTTATTTTCTTTATGTTTCTATTGAATCTTTATTTCTAATATTATTTAACATGTGGAATTTTAAAATAAGTTTTGATTGTTTTCTAAAATTATTTTGTATTTTCCTTACTATGAAAAGCTGACATCTAAACATATTTAGAATTTTCTTTTAAAAAACTTCTAATAATGTTTCACTCCATAGTTTTCATAGGTAACCTGTCTCCAGATAGTTCAGCTGTTCCTATATGTATTTCTAAGATTCATTTATTGGATGGATATTTAAAAAGCTCTTACCATGTGTCAAGCACAATATTAGGTGTTAAGTATACATTGGTAAATGAGAGACATAGCCCTGCCCTTACAGAGCTTGTATTATTATTGGGATACAAGTATTAGACAAGCAAATAAATACATGCATTGATGGAGGAGGTATGTATATGTTTGTGCAATACAAAATGTTAAGTTCTGGGAAAGAAATAAGTAGGATGTTACATGGGGATAATGAGATAATGAGTGTGGGGACTTATTTAATGTCCAGTCGAGGCTTCTCTCGGGAAGCAGTACTTACAATGCAGCTAAAGGGTGAGTGGAATCATCTATGAGAGATGAATGCTCCAACACAGAGGAAACAGCAAGTGCAAAGCCCTTAGGGCAGGAGCTTGGGTGGTCAGGGGCTTGGAGGAAGCCTGAGATGTCTGGCTTAAATCACCAATAATTGCTGATGAGTTCCATGGGGAAAAGTGGGACAAGGTAGAATTAAGGGAAAGGTAAGCAAGTTCTGCCTTTAATATTTATGGCATCATTTACTGCTAGCAGAAAGCCTAGGAGAGAAACAAATTGGGAATGGAGGAGGCCACAAGAGTTTAGTTTAGGAGATGCTAAGCTTGAGATGCCTCTGAGACATGTAAGTGGAGATCTCAAGTAGGTAGTTGATGAATTCATATAATATTTAAACCACAGAGGAGGCTCACAATGATATTAACTTTAGGAGCACTTCCATTTTCTTTATTGTTATTTTCTTAGCTATCTGTGACCACTTTTACAATTCATGTAAAGATAACCTCTAAATTTACCTTTCTACCCTGCTGTGTCATTCTGCTCTGAAGAAACTCAGAAGACAGAACAAATTTATTTAAATTTTAAAGTAATTTCATATTTGAACTGGAGCAAAATTATCATCTATATTTAACTCCAAGACATGTCTGTGAGCAAAGTATAAATAAAAGAAATCAGCCTTAGAATTCAAAACAATATACACATTTATTCTCACTTTATTGTTGAATATTCTTACTGTCCCTTCTTGCTGTTTTACAGACTCTAAATTGACTGTAAGTTTGCAATGACAGCTGTTTTACATAGGAGAGAATAAATTAGTAACGGAGTTCAAAAGCATTTACTGAGCATAATCTTAGTAGTTAACAGAATAGTAGTAATAGATAATTTCTACTAAGGGGTTACCAAGGTATAGACACCCCTGTTTTCTCATATAATTTTTAGTTTGATTCTCATAAAAAGTCTAAAAAGCAAGTACTATTATAATCCCTATTTTACAAGTCAAACTGAGGCTGTGGAGCAATTAAATATTTTTCCTTAAATCCCAATTAGGAAGTAGCAGAGAGAGGACTCAATATGGTTCACCTGACACCAACATTTCTGCTATCAAGTACTAAGTTAGGCTGCCTAAAAACTATTAAGCATATGAAAGAATATAGTGCATTTAAATTGTCTATAATCCAGTCAGAGGAGGAGAAAGTAAGACAAGAGATGAAATTCATTAAGGCACTACTCCCACTCTGTCATGTCTAAGGCACAGAAGAAACCTTTCCTTCTGCTGAAGCCACCTTCCTTTTCCCCTCTGCTCCACATACAAGTATATAAATAGGGAGTTGTGAATGGCCTCTAGAGCCCTTATGGACTCCACAGTTTACAGAGATGAGGCTAGAGTCCCTGGTGAGGCTGATTTCTAATCCCAGCCTGGACACAGAAGAGCCAAAGAAGACTGCTTATGTGTCAAGGAATTGATGCCTATGGAACATAGGAAAATGGAGCTTTCCATGTGTATGCACTCAAGCCTCACTCATTCAGAATCTTTTTGGCATTTAGGACTAAATTCTAGTTAATATGTATTATTTTTTACCTTGCCTTCCTTCCTTCCTTTCATATATAAACATATAGACATATTTTTAGAGAAAGCATGAGTGGGGAAGAAGGGCAAAAGGAGAGAGAATCTTGAACAGGCTCCATGCTCTGAATGGAGCCCTATGCAGTTCTCAGTCCCACAACCCTGGGATCATGACCTGAGCCAAAATCAAGAGTTCAAACACTCAACCAACTGAGCCACTCAATTCCTCCAACTCCATTATCCTTAACACTTTTAATATGTTAGGACTTTGAATGCAGTTTATTCTTTGTTTCACAGAGCTTATTTACTTTGAAAATATGAATGTATTTTCTGTGATGGAAGGCTCATAATTTGAGACTTTAATAAGCCAAAATTTAAAGTTGCCAACTCTGCAGGATTATTATACACTCAAAAACTACCTTCTTCTAAATAAACACTGTGTGCTAGGGGTGATTGTAGATATTCTGTAATGTTAAGAGACGAGCCTATGGTTTAAATCCTAGTACATTGTATGTATACTAAGTGC